GCTTGACGATCCCAGACTCGGTGACGCACATTGGGAACTATGCCTTTAATGGTTGCACCTCTTTGGCGAGCTTGACGATGCCAGACTCAGTCACCCACATTGGAGGGGGTGCCTTTGCAGGTTGTAGATCCTTGGTGAACTTGACCATCCCGGACTCGGTGACCCACATTGGGAATGGTGCCTTTTGGGAGTGCGGCTCTTTGGCGAACTGGTCCATCCCAAGCTGACATGCATCGGCGGCCGGTTTTATGGATGAAAAGGCAGACATATTGCACCCCCAGACGCTCCGTTCACAGCCCGACTGGGTCCCGAACCAACCCATCGGGTTGGGTGAGAAGGGCCAGACCCCTGACCCCTTCGGATGACCGGGTCATCTTCCCCTGCCATAGCACCGAATTGGAATTCGTTCGATGTTCGGTCTGGTCACCAGGAACCGGCTCGTGAGGTGGCGGTCTGGGGTGTTGACCCTGAAAGTCAAAGACCATTTTTGGAAGTCAACGCGTGAAACCCTGCTTGGTATATGGTTGTTTGGGTAAAGGCTATGTTTAAAAAATGGTGGTTCGACTTCTATAAAAAGAGGTGATATGAGGTTTCCTCGGCTGAGCCGGGGTGTCCCAGGCTTCGCTTTCGGAGTGTCAGGTCCCCACAGATTCCGCAAAGAATCGAGCGGTGGATCAGAAGTGGACATGCGAAGTGGCAGAAGAGCTGATTGATCTCTCAACCAGCAGTCACGTCGTTCGCTCCGGGGTGCCGGTTCCGAGGTAGGAGGTAGGAGGTTAGTAGGATAGGGGTGCCCAGAACGTCACATCACATCCACAGCCTCGCCCTGGAAGATGGGACGACGAGCCACACCACCCGACGGCCCGACATGTGACTCCTGGAACAGAGGGAGCTTTCAGGGGCTTTTCTTTTTGGTCATGGATCTGGTGAGCTTCCGGGTCTGGAGGGGTCTGTCCTCTGGTAGCTTTTGGAGACTAAAAAGGTGTCATTTGGTGACCTGGCAGGGGTCGGACCCTCCATAGCAGGGGTCCGGGCCCGAACCAAACCCTATGTGTTGGTTCGGGCCCGGGTTCTGAGGGTGGTACATAACAGTGTCTCCAATCACTTTCTGAGAAGGTACGACTGGATGCCGTGCCGGTCTCCAGGAATACTTTGGCCTCCCTGAAACGATTCGCCCCCTCTATACTCTATACCCAGACCCGAAGTCTGAACGGAAGGGATCCGGGAACCTCAGTTTTTTCCCACCCAGACGCTCCAAACAGGCCTTGGGTCCCTCAAAACCATCGGGTTTGGTTCGGGTCCAGACCCCTGACCAGTTCGGATGACCGGGTCCGACCCCTGCCATAGCTTCAGGGCTGGAAGACCGGGTCGCGTCGAAAATACACCAACTGGGACGAGCTCCGGACGTCTGTTCCGGTGAGCTCCGGACGTCTCCGGGTGCCATGACGGACCTACAGCGAAGCAAGCACCCAGACACGACCCGCCATCTGGGAACGTTCCCGGTAGGCACCAGCCCGGTAAGCCGTGAGTTCCTCAGAACTAGACCAGTCCCGTCGACGGGTCGCGTCGACGGGGTAGGTTGGGAGGAACCAATGTCGAGGCGGTAAATTAGGCACGTGTGCATGCCCAGACACTCCATGTATGCCATATATGCCTATACATTGGGTGGTTTGAGGGGTCAATGTAGGCATATATATGGCAGTCCCATGGAGTGTCTGGGTGTGGATCAGGAAACACCTCGATTCGTCACACGTTCCGTGTCGTTCAGTGTCGTGAAATACCCAGACACGACTCCGCTAGTTGGGACATGTCATACATACCAAACAGTTGTTGAAATGGGGTCAATGTAGGCCCTGGGAGTCAAAGACTATAAAAAGAATGGTCTTTACGGGAACTGAAAGGGAATATGCTTTACTTCAGCTGGTCAAAATATAGTCTTTGGACTTCTAGGGTAGGCATCAATGCCAGCCCCATGGGAGTGTTTGGGATAGATGATCATCTTCACTGTTAGCTTTTTTGATGGTCCTCCTTGCGCGGCCTGCACCCGAAACCGCTCATGCTTGCCGCTCGACCGCCAGTCCTCGGGAGAATCGAGCAACTTGCCGCCAGCCAGCTGGGAGAAGGTGGGCCGTACTGGGAGTTCGAGAGGATTTCTGGGACAGGTTCTTCATGTATACCCTAGGCCATCCTATAGCCCTAGGCTTCCTGGCCCACCATGAATTTAATAGGCTGAATCCCGAATCAACTAAGGATTTTGCACTACAAAAACCAGGTGAACCATTGTTGTAATGGTCGAACGGAAGTCTAGGATATATATATATATATTATATACTCTAGAATGATATTCCACCCACCCCAGTTGGATTGAACTCTTCATGAATATGGGTTGGTGAATATAATCAAGAGTCTACTGGGTCCAAGTGGCGCTTGGTCATGGTCTTCTCAACTCATCCTGTGGACGTCTTCTTCACATAGACTAAGTCACTCTCATGGGTCAGGCCACCGTGGTGAGAAAGGCCCGCGGAAAAATCTGTGGCGCCAGACCATCTTGCCAGTTGAAGTGGTCCTTCTATTTTGTTGCGGGGGAGTCAGGGTGCATCAGGGGTCAGGTTCGATGAGGTGAACTTTCGATGGGTGAACTTTCGATCCATGATATTCCAGATCCCATGGAGTGTTTGGGGATCCAGGTCGTCTCTCGACCCTCCGGGCGGTGCGGAACTCGCCCTTCTCGATCACCGCCGGGTGGAACTCACCAACCGCTGGCTGGAGCCCGGCGGTGCCCGCGCTCGGTACCGTTGGCTCGCCGTGCAAGCCTCGCGAAGCGCCAGGTGAACGCCATGTGCCCCAGCGTGCAAGATGCCCTGGATCGGTGAGGGGCCCTGGATCGGAGCGGAGCTTCGCTGTCGCCATCCGCAGGTCCGGCCCTTCGTGATCGCTCGGCGGTCTGGGTGAAATATTGGAGTTCATCATTGATCCCCTAGGGATCCAGTCGTACCGAACCTCAGAAGGTACTTGGACCCACCTACATAACATTTAACAGTGCCTCCAATCACCGTACCGAAAGTACTTGGATCCCTGGGGATCATGTAGCTAAAACACCTAGCTCACTGAGCTAAAGGACCGGTCGCTGGGGTGGCCTGGACCTTGTGGGAGGCCATGGCCTCGATCCGTGAGGCCACGACTTGATCTATCGCCGGCTGGGCAAGCCGGGGAGCTTCTAATCTATCCGAAGACATCTGAACTCATTGAAGGAGATTGCTACGAAAGTCATGAAGGTGCATGTTTTTCAATATGGAAGCCACATTTTACATGATGAGCATCCAGAGTTCCATGTATAGATCTTTTTGTTGGAGTCACGATGAATAACTGGAGTCGCGTGAGAATCTTGCGTTCCTTCTCAGTGGCCCACCGGGGTCAAATGGCTTTGGGGGGTCGTTTTGAGGGATCAACTCAGTGTCCTACAGCCTCCCGACCCCTCCAGAACCGCCCCCGCTCACACCTGTTGCCCAGATCCCTCCAGACCGGAAGCTCACACCTGTTGAGATCCCTGGAGAGGCTGCCCTCAAGGAATCAGCACTTCCACGGAACCGCGTGGCAAGTCTGGACCGCACCACTTCCACCACGTCTGGACGAGTCTGGACCCTTCCAAGTCTGGACCACTCCCACTCGTCGAGTGGGCTCGTGGCATAAAGAGTCGCATTGCATAGAATCCAACAAAGGTGGATAGTGACCAGGTCACGTTCGGACCCGGAAAATCTGGGGTACCGGTTCCTGGGATAGCCGCATAGCCAGCACCACCCAGGTCGGATGGTTTATAGAACCCCCGGAAGAGGTATTTTTCATCCAATAACCACCCCTTGGGTGGTGCTGGTAGGGTTCTTCAACCTCTGTTGGAACTTCAAACCTCTATCGGCGATGTCCCCCTATAGGGCTTCAACCATCTCCTCAGGTTCGGTGGTATTCGACCCTCCTGGCACCCACCATAACCCTCTTCTCAGGAGGTGAGCCAGGAGCCCTAGGGTCCATGTCGCCCTCGTGAAAACGAGAAAAACCCGGGTCCTGGTCTAGTCCCCCAAATGGGGAACCGTGGTGTTCACCGAAGGGGAGGTCTTCTGGATCAAACCACCACTTCGCAACCGATCGTACTCTCTCGGCGATCGCCACTCTCCTCGTACGTTTCGGCATCGATGCGTCGTCAGCCGAAAACAGAGTGATGGCTGTGACAGTGACTGGAAACAACAACCAACAACCACAAGATCAGCAATGAGTGACGGCTTTGGCTGGACAGTGACTGGAAACAACGACAACAATCAACAACCAACAATCACAACAACAGCAACAGCAGCACCAACAACATCAACATCTTTGCCAATCAAACGCGAAGCCAACAATTTGCCCAAGTGCCGACAGACACGACATTGAAGCATATAGTCAGCTTAAATCAAAATTTGAAAAAACCTTTGAGTCATGGCGAACATAATTTCAGTGCTCCAGCCGAGTGGCGAAATCCTGGTTCTTGAAGTCACGCCTGAGACAACAGGCAAGGAGCTCAAGCAGCAGATCAAGGATCGAAAGCCTTGGGATGAGCTTACTCGCAGCAGTACGGGTGTGGAGATCATTGTCGGAGACAACCACTTGCTGGCCAATGATGCAAAGGTATTGGACGCTGGAATTGCTGAAGATCCTGTTATGAGTGTTGTCTTCAAGCCCAACAAGGTGATATGTTCCAACAAGGATGCGATCGCCAGTCTTGGTGGCATCGTTGACTCAGACCTTCTGCTTGTGATCGAAATATCATGATACGCAGATTCATCAAAACGCTTTTGAAGATTGCCAGACGTTGGCCAATGTGACCATCCCAGACTCTGTGACCCACATTGGGGACAATGCCTTTGAGGATTGCACGTCTTTGACAAACTTGACCATCCCAAACTCCGTGACCCACATCGGAGCGTGTGCCTTTGCAGGTTGCAGCTCTTTGTCAAACTTGACCATCCCGGACTCCGTGATCCACATTGAGATTGATGCCTTTCGTGATTGCAGCTCTTTGGCAACCTTGACCATCCCGGACTCAGTGACCCACATCGGGGACGGTGCCTTTCAGGGTTGCAGCTCCTTGGCAACCTTGACCATCCCTGACTCGGTGACCCACATTGGGGTTGATGCTTTTCGTGATTGCAGCTCTTTGGTGAACTTGACCATCCCAGATTCGGTGACCCACATTGGGGCTGGTGCCTTTTAT